ACACTAAATTCGTATTCAGAGCTGATGTAAGTAACTCTCTTTCTTATCATTTTCCTGCAGTGAACCCTTAAAGGATCACTCCACTGCCCAAATACAAAATAAATAACATAAATAAAAATCTAAATTGGGCTTGGAGCTCTGCTATAAGTAGTCTTGAGTCCAGATAAAACCTCAAATAAAAACTTGCATGCACTTAATTATACATTTTTTTCATTGAAGTTATATCCAAAAACAGCTTGCAAAACATGCAGTTTCCTTGTCTGCAGCCTTTGCAAGCCCTCCCCTTCTAACCCCGCCCAGACTTTCTGTGACTGTCCAATCACAGACTTCCCAATGCAGCTCAATGAGAAGTCTTTGCATGGCAGGAGCTCTGAGCAATCGCTGCTTCTTGAGTTCCGATCCACTGAGTTAACCTATCCAAGAAGTAAGTGGACCGGTTGTCTGATTGAAGTCCCACTTACAGTAGATTGTCAATAAGAATGGAAAAACTACAGAGACAAATGTCTGGTAAGCAGGGCAGTAACCTATTTGGTTAGACCTGGTTTTAAATCCATTTCAGAAGCTTTCTTCAAAGAATAAATGCTGCTTGTCTTCCTGTCAAATATGAAGCTCTGAAGTATACATGTACTATAAACACCTGCTGAGTATTTGCCCAGCACATGTTATAGTACATGTGCAGTTGGCAGAAATGTAATTCATCCTATAAGAATAAATGAATGACTGCCTAAGCTCATAGCAGCTGCACATTGACTACTGCCAGCTCGAGGGCAGCCCTATTCTCAATGTGACTAAAGCTTTCTATGGCCTTACATTGTGAAGAGCCTGTTTTTTATTGGTTGAGGCTTGTACAGCAAATGCGCAGCCTACAGCTACTTTGAATAGCAGGGGGAAGAATTAGTTTCCTTCCATGACTTAGTTAACAGATGGGCTTACAGATAGAGGGCTTTTTGCAAACTGCAGTTATAAGCAGTTATGCACAGTGAGATGCAGTGAGGGATACAGCACTTGTGAGATGCAGTGAGGGATACAGCACTAGTGAGGTGCAGTGAGGGATACAGCACTAGTGGGATGCAGTGAGGGATACAGCACTAGTGAGGTGCAGTGAGGGATACAGCACTAGTGGGAAGCAGTGAGGGATACAGCACTAGTGAGATGCAGTGAGGGATACAGCACTAGTGAGATGCAGTGAGGGATACAGCACTAGTGAGGTGCAGTGAGGTATACAGCACTAGTGGGATGCAGTGAGGGATACAGCACTAGTGAGGTGCAGTGAGGGATACAGCACTAGTGGGATGCAGTGAGGGATACAGCACTAGTGAGGTGCAGTGAGGGATACAGCACTAGTGGGATGCAGTGAGGGATACAGCACTAGTGAGATGCAGTGAGGGATACAGCACTAGTGACGTGCAGTGAGGGATACAGCACTAGTGACGTGCAGTGAGGGATACAGCACTAGTGAGGTGCAGTGAGGGATACAGCACTAGTGAGGTGCAGTGAGGGATACAGCACTAGTGAGGTGCAGTGAGGGATACAGCACTAGTGGGATGCAGTGAGGGATACAGCACTAGTGGGATGCAGTGAGGGATACAGCACTAGTGGGATGCAGTGAGGGATACAGCACAGTGCAGTGAGTGATACAGCACTAGTGGGATGCAGTGAGTGATACAGCACTAGTGGGATGCAGTGAGGGATACAGCACTAGTGAGGTGCAGTGAGGGATACAGCACTAGTGAGGTGCAGTGATGGATACAGCACTAGTGAGATGCAGTGAGGGATACAGCACTAGTGAGGTGCAGTGAGTGATACAGCACTAGTGAGGTGCAGTGAGTGATACAGCACTAGTGAGGTGCAGTGATGGATACAGCACTAGTGAGGTGCAGTGATGGATACAGCACTAGTGAGGTGCAGTGATGGATACAGCACTAGTGAGGTGCAGTGAGTGATACAGCACTAGTGGGATGCAGTGAGGGATACAGCACTAGTGAGGTGTAGCGAGGGATACAGCACTAGTGAGGTGCAGCGAGGGATACAGCACTAGTGGGATTCAGTGAGGGATACAGCACTAGTGAGGTGCAGTGAGGGATACAGCACTAGTGAGGTGCAGTGAAGGATACAGCACTAGTGGGATACAGTACTACTTGTAATATAATTTGTGCTTAAGACATTACCTGTTAGCAGGACCAGCGCTTCCATTAGGCCACTTAGCCACTTCCCTGGGGGCGCCTCTGGCAAGCCTGCAACTAATAGTGTTTGGGACTGTCCGGGCGACTAGACCGCCCAGACAGACCCAGTAACGAATTGTAAAACTGGCCAAATGGCCAAACATGGTAAAATTCTGGATGGGGATCAGGATGGCAGCCAGGCACCAGTGGCGGCGCCGTTACTCACAGGGTGCTCAAGTAGTTCCTGGCTGGTGCCTGGCTGCACTTGATCCCCACCCTATTAGGTACCGCACGGGTGCAGCCTCCTTGTGCTCATGCCCCCCGGCCCTGTGCATTGGGACAAGATATCAAGGAAGGAAGTGGTGCAGGGCGGCAGAGAGTGTCCCAGTAGGACCTCACTCGCTCCTGCCCCCTGCCCTGTACTTAGTAACAAGTGGGCGGAACTCCTAGAGGGAGTGACTGGATGACAGGCACAGTCAAGATGCCTGAAATAAATGTACAGTCAACTGACAAATAAAATGAAGGTAAGTATGTGTTTCAGAGAATGTGTGTGTCTGTATGGATCAGTGTATTTGTGTCTGCATGGGTCAGTGTGTTTGTGTCAGTATCAGTGTGTGTGTGTTAGTCTATGTGTGCCTGCATTGATCAGTGTGTGTGTGTCTGCATGGGTCAGTGTGTGTGTCTGCATGGATCAGTGTTCATGTGTCTGCATAGACTAGTGTGCGTGAATCTGCATGGGTCAGTGTGCGTGTGTCTGCATAAATCATTGTGTGTGTGTGTCTGCATGTGTCAGTGTACGTGTGTGTGCATGGGTCACAGATTTGTGAGCCTGCATGGGTTAGTGTGTGTGTGTCAGTACTTGCATTTGTGCACTAAGAACAGTTTTAATAAATCAATACTTTTAAAGGAAGTAGAACACTATAGTGTTAGGAATATAAACTTGTATTCTGAATATTATAGTGTTTCTGTCCCTACAATGATTCAAGCTCCCCCCCCCATAAAAATGGTTTCAAAAGATAAGTAAAATTTTAAAATACAAAAAGCAGATGGGGCTGCATAATCTTTTTTGCCTAGGGCGGTACAATTCCTTGCACCAGCCTTGACTGTTTGTGTACTAGGATTGTATCTATAAACATATACCTGCTGAAATGCCTGAAATTTGGGACCTTTCAGATATTTAATTTTTTATTTCTTAGACATTTCAGTATTTTTTCCTTCAGATCATTACAAGTATGTTGTGGTATCAGAGTTGGGCTTGGGGCTCTGCTATAAGTAGTCTTGATTCCAGGCACTACGAGCTGCACACCCTTGCATTACACTACTACATGAGTACGACTCGAGTACGATATGCTTTCTGATAGGATGCAAAGGTATGCATTGAAGGTGAATGGAACAAAACAGGAAGCGATGTTAAATGATGACATATATGCTGTAAGGCCAGAGGGATGGCAGGTAAATGGTCATGTCATGCTCCAATTGTCCATTATTCATGCAGGGTATCACTGTTTAAACCACTGGTTTTGGGAGACAGTACATTTTCAGTTATATCTTTTCCACCCCGTTCTCTTTCTACTTATAAGAGCTATTTCATTGCAGTCTTTGTCGTGTACTGTGGTGATTATTACCAGGATTCCCATTATTTTGTTATTGTCCATATAAGAACAACTATACAAACCAACTACTGTTTTCTAGGAACAGACTTTTTTTATTTTTTTAAATTACATAGTTGACTATTTCTGCAATCATTTCTTTTTGTATTTGTTCCATCTCCGCTGTTCTGATTTCCCATACAGCCCCCTGGGAGTTGGCATATGTACAGAAAACGTTTTTGCTTTTTTCTTGTCTAATGTTGGAAACTGCTTTATAACTTTAGTGACTTTTAAAGCTTGAGTTAGAACCTTTTTGTTTTAGATGTTTGATCTGTAACAATGGTGAGTATTGTAGGATAATTTATCTCAGTTTTAACTTATTTCTCTACTTTTTCTTCAATTCTTGATTCATAATGGCTTTTCAAGATAGGCACACATATCTCAGGTGTCATGGTGTATCATGGGTAACATCTGACAGGTCAACTTATTTTGCTGTATATAAATGTGTTACTATTATACTAAACTATGAAGAAACTAGACTAATGCAACATAGTTAAAGGGACACTATAGTCACCAGAACAACTACAGCTTATTGAATTTGTTCTGATGTGTAGAATCATTACCTTCAGGCTTTTTGCTGTAAACACTGTCTTTTCAGAGAAAATGCAGTGTTTACATTTCAGCCTAATGATAACTTCACTGGCCACTCCTCAGATAGCTGTTAGAAATCCTTCCTGGGTCATGGCTGCCTAAAATGCATCCAAACATTCAGTATCTCCTCCCTCTGCATGCAGACACTGAACTTTCCTCATAGAGATCCATTGATTCAATCCATCTCTATGAGGAGATGCTGATTGGCCAGGGCTGGGTTTGAATTGTGCTGACTCTGCCCCTGATCTGCCTGTTTGTCAGTCTAAGCCAATCCTATGGGGAAGCATTGTGATTGGATCAGGCTACCACTTCTGCTGATGCCAGCAGGCAGTGGGCAGGTCAAAAGGAAACCGTGGCAAAGCAAGCAGCTCCAGACTTGAATACAAGTAAGATTTTGCTATATTTAGGGAGGCAATGAGGGGCCAGGGGGCTAGGTGGTGGTTTTAACCCTATAGGGTCAGGAATAAATGTTTGTGTTCCTGACCCTATAGTGCTCCATAAAAAGTCCAGAGAATTTAATTTGCTAGCACTATATTTAATGCTGTAACTTTTCAAGACACCATAAAATCTGTACATGGGGGTATTGTTTTACTTGGGAGACTTCACTGAACACAAATATTAGTGTTTCAAACAGTAAAATGTATTACAATGATGATATCATCAGTAAAAATGCAGTTTTTTGTATTTTTGACACCCAAACAGCACTAACACTGCTGATATAGTTGTTGTGATACGTTTTACGTTTTTGAAACACTAATATTTGTGTTCAGCGAAGTCTCCTGAGTATAATAGTACCCCTCATGTACAGTTATTATGGTGTTTTCAAAAGTTACAGAGTCAAATATAAGGCTTGTGTTTCAGTTTTTTCACATTGAAATTCGCCAGACTGGTTACGTTGCTTTTGAGACCGTATGGTAGCCCAGAATAAGAATTACCCCCATGATGGCATACCATTTGCAAAAGTAGACAACCAAGGTATTGCAAATGGGGTATGTCAAGTCTTTTTTAGTAGCCACCTAGTCACAAATACTGGCCAAAATTGGCGTTCAAATTCGTCTTTTGCATTTTTCACACACAAACAAATATTAATGCTAACTTTGGCCAGTGTTTGTGACTAAGTGACTACTAAAAAAAACTGGACATATGCCATTTGTAATACCTTGGGTTGTCTACTATTGCAAATGGTATGCCATCATGGGGGTAATTCTCATTCCTGGGCTACCATACGGTATCAAATGCAATGTAACCAATATGGTGAAATTCAATGTGAAAAAAATGAAAAATGTAACATGCTATATTTCACCCTGTAACTTCCCAAAACATCATATAACCTGTACATAGGGGGTACTTTTTTACACGTGAGACTTCGTTGAATACAAATATGTGTATCTTATTGCAGTGAAAGCTAACAATATTATGACATTCACAGTTAAAATATCATGCAGAACTCTAAAAATGACACAATTTCTCAATCTCTCAATTATTTTTATATTTTATTTATATTAAATTATGTTTCATAGCTAAATATTTGATGGTAAATGAAAGCCCTATTTCTCCTGAATAAAATTATATATAATATGTGTTGGTGCACTTAATATGAATGAGGTAAATTACGGTTGAACAGACATATACCGTATATACTCGAGTATAAGCCGACCCGAATATAAGCCGAGGCCCCTAATTTTACCCCAAAAAACTGGGAAAACTTATTGACTTGAGTATAAGACTAGGGTGGGAAATGCAGCAGCTACTGGTAAATTTCTAAATAAAATTAGATCCTAAAAAAATTATATTAATTGAATATTTATTTACAGTGTGTGTATATGATGAATGCAGTGTGTGTGTATGAGTGCGCAGTGTGTGTGTATGAGTGCGCAGTGTGTGTGTATGAGTGCACAGTGTGTGTATATGAGCGCAGTGTGTGTGTATGAGTGCACAGTGTGTGTATATGAGTGCAGTGTGTGTGTATGAGTGCGCAGTGTGTGTATGAGTGCGCAGTGTGTGTATGAGTGCGCAGTGTGTGTATATGAGTGCGCAGTGTGTGTATAAATGCAGTGTGTATATGAGTGCAGTGTGTGTGTATGAGTGCAGTGTGTGTGTATGAATGCAGTGTGTGTGTGTGTGATGCAGTGTGTGTTTGTGTTGCAGAGCCTTGGTGGGGGGTGGGCATTTTTATAAAAAAAAATCTATTATTATTTTAATTTTTTTTGTTATATTATTATTTTTTTATTATTATTTTTTAATTATTATTTATATTTATATATTATTAATTAATATTATTTGATTTTTTTGTTATATTATTTTTTTTATTATTATTATTATTATTTATATTTATGTATTATTCATTTAATTATTTTTGTCCCCCCTCCCTGCTTGATATATGGCAGGGAGAGGGGCTCTCCTTCCCTGGTGGTCCAGTGGCATTGGCAGTTCAGTGGGGGGAAGAGGGGGGCTGGCAGAGCTGTTACTTACCTCTCCTGCAGCTCCTGTCAGCTCTCTCCTCCTCCGCGCCGGTCCGTGCAGCTCTTCTCTCAGCTCACACTGTAAGTCTCGCGAGAGCCGCACTATGACCCCGCGGCTCTCGCGAGACTTACACTGGGAGCTGACCGAGGTGCTGCACGGACCGGCACGGAGGAGGAGAGAGCTGACAGGAGCTGCAGGAGAGGTAAGTAACAGCTCTGCCAGCCCCCAGTCTGTATTATGGCAATGTAAATTGCCATAATACAGACAGTGACTCGAGTATAAGCCGAGTTGGGGTTTTTCAGCACAAAAAATGTGCCGAAAAACTCGGCTTATACTCGAGTATATACGGTAGTCAAATTCCAAGTTTTGTTTCCGTTTTATTTTGATCAAAACGTGTACATTTGGCTCAGTCCTTAAGGGGTTAAACAATTGTATCTCTTTCTCTGTAAATTGATCTTTAATAACATACAAGAGGCTCTTGCACATTTTAGCAAGCTATTAACATAGCAGGGGATAAGAAAATCTAAATGAAACAGAACTTTCAAGAAAGGAAGGATAAACTGTAGATGACTCTTTACAGGAAGTATTTAGGAAGGCTATGCAAGTCACATGCAGGGAGGTGTGACTAGGTGATTTAAAGAGAGTGATTTAACTCCTAAATGGCAGAGAACTGAGCAGTGAGGCTGCAGGGGCATGATCTATACACCAAAACTGCTTCATTAAACTAAAGTTGTTTTTCACTATAGTGTCCCTTTAATAAGGTAGGACTTCAAGTTTTTTTCAGAGACAAAGGGGAAGATGCCCCAAATAAGACGTAATTAATAAACTGATATTTAGGTTTAGCATACTTCATATAAATTCATACTTATGAGACCGGAGCATTGTTTTAGTGGATATGTCTAGAGGAATGCACTATTCTGGAATAAACCTCTTAGAACCGTTTATGGAATTCTATCTAATTTAGAATCAAATTCAATCCATTTTTTTTGTTCCTATTTGTGAAGTGCCAGCATAGTCCACATCCATGCACTATGGGTAAACACAAACAAAATACCACAAGCAAATAATGGCACTTGTGCATTGCTGCCCCCACAATGCCCTGTTAGCCTACCATTGCAGTGCAAAGTTGGATGGGTAATGTAGGCCTGCTGTAACCTGAGCCCCATCATAAGGTCCAGGCTGTATGCAATGGGAGAATCCTGTTTTTTGTATATGCTTCAAAAAGCAACTTGACACAAACTGGGGAGCTAGCACATACTTCATGCACCATAACTACTGCAATGAGCCCTTCTAATAAATGATCTTGCTGGGACTTTCTGTTTGAAGATTTTCTTACTTTTCCATTAGCCATTTCTTTCTTATTTTTATTCTTACCTTTTACTAATTACTTTTAGCATTTATCACCCTGTTGGTTGTTTCTGCAATTTACAATTATCTGTTTTCTGGAAATGATTTAAAAAAAAAAAAAAAAACTGTAAAAATTTATATACAATCAAATATCTGATTGGCTGATATTGATTATGGAAGTTTAAAAATATGTATTTATTTAGTTGTATGCCTCCTGTATAAACACAGTTATCACATTTGCTGAGACGGGAGATTTTAACTCCACACCACAAATCTTCAGGGATGTTAACATTTCCAGAGAAATCTATAATGCACTGCTTAAATTCAATCACTTATAAACCCACAGCAGCTTCAGAGCACACACTTGTCAACAACTATCATTTTATAATATCTAGGTCGAGCTATCTGCGGATGCATCCTTATTAGAAGCTCCAAGGCAGGGAATTAGGTGAAGCTAATAAAATGTATCTGCTTGCCCTCTGTTAGGAACTATGCGTCACACAAAGCCCTTACATAACTCGAGGAAACCAATTATTACAGGACTATGTCTCTGAACTTTTTAATGTGCTTTCTGCCCTTGGGAGGTTAGTGTACCGATTAGAAGAGAACTTTATGATTTTCTTTGACCTATATTCTAGTCAGCGGGAGACCCACAATGGACATTGAATGGCTTCAAGGGCAGTCCTTTATTGTACATGACAGGCTTATTAAGCAAATAATGGCTATGAATGGAATATGGAACACCCACCTACGCATGTCTGCTGGAGGTTCACTTGTATTTGCTAGAGCATCTTTTAAAAAGATTTCAGACCGGAACTAGCCGCTGTTTATTAAGTCATTACCTTTGGGAGATTTAAATAGCCTATACAGCGTAAGTGGGGTCCAGTGTTAAATCAATTCCTCGTGATTAAAAGGGCAGGGGAAGAAGAATAAAAAAAAGGCCTGGTAATTGGTCACATTTAACCATTTGCAAATAAGAGTTTAATAATACCTGGGTTAATCATGTGTTGCATAACCATCTGATGCTGAACAGGCTTTTTAATCCCACAGTGATACGATTGTATTTTTAAAGAAAAAAAATAGTAGTATTGATTATACTAAAGTAGCAATAAAGCTTTCACTGGTCAGATAGCATGATACATTTATAACTCTTTACCAGACACATTGTTAAAGGGGAACTGGCACTCCCCAGGTTTTTAATTGCTTATTTATACCTATTTTTAAAAAGTCTGTGTGATGTGATAAAAAAATAAAATGATATGTAGCAATCCACAAAACGTTATCTTGAAAATTGGCACCTCCATTTTAGCTCCCCTGTCAAGCATGGTTATATGTTCCTTTGTACCTGACAGTCTGCTTAGAGAAAGCATTCAGAGAAGAAGAGACATTAACCCCTTAAGAACTGAGCCAAATGTATATGTCTGTTCAACCGCAATTCACCTCTTTCGTATTAAGTGCACCCACACTTTATTATTTATAAATAAGTTTAACAAAAAAAAAGTATGAGAAGCCTAACTAAATTAACTTGTTTTCTAATGCAGACTTTTAACACAGTCACAAATACCTATCCACAGGTATCACAATGGGCATTAATCTAATGGGCAGTATCAGTCTAAATGGGAGTAAAATATATAATTTTCTTAATTTATATTCTGATCAAAGTGCCTGAATGCTTCCATTTCCATCACAGAGTGGATATGAAATGGCTGATGGAAGGCTGGCTGACAGAGGGCGGGCTGAGAGAGGGCAGGTTGATAACAGGCAAGCATAAGTGTGGGGCAATCTCGCGATCTCTTAATAAGATCGCGGCCGCGTGATCTCTGCTGTTTCCGACCTTCTGGAACAGCAGGGAGCAGCGGCTATTTTAGATGTTGCGATTCATGGCAGAACCCCAGTTTTGTTCTCGGAACACCAATTAGGAAACGCTGATTTAGTGTGTTACAACTATAGCAAAGTTCTAAGCAGAA